GCAAACATGCGGAAAGAGTGCAAACATGGACGATGAAAACGCACTAAAAAATCAAGACAGCAACGATGGGATCATTCCAATACATGACAAAGAAAGTGAACCCCATCCAATGGAAAACGTCGTTTTTGTCTGGAACAATTTCAATCAAAACAACCCTAACAAGTTTGAAATGCCTCTTGATATCAGTATCAACGATGATAGCACCTTACCGGCGGAATTGCAAAGAAATTACGATGCCGAAATTGTTGATGATAATGAGAGCATGAATCTCTCGCCGAGTCAAGCTATTGGACGGAAAGTATTTAAATGTCCACATTGTCCATTTTTCTCCACCACAGCGTCGAGATTCCACGTTCATATCGTGGGTCATTTGAACAAGAAGCCATTTGAGTGTTCCCTCTGCAAATACAAATCAAATTGGAGATGGGATATAACCAAGCACATTAAATTGAAGTCTGCGCGGGATCCAGAACATAACGAAGCTAAGGTACTCATGACCGACGAAACAGGACGTCGCAACTACAGCAAATATAATAAATTCTTAGCGATGCCTGTTATGAATGAAAATGGAGAAAATGAGTTTCATTACTTGGACCCTAATACTGCAGTGGACAGCTCTATGGAAATAGACGAACCATTTAATGATATTTCGGACGCCATGAATGTACAATTTGAAATGCAACCACTAAACCTACAGACTCAACATACTGATGAGAAATACGACTTTTTAGAAAATAGAGCTCTCGATGATGTAAAGAAACCTAAAAAAACATTATGGAAATGCAAAAAGTGCAACTACAAGTAAGTTATTGTGTAATAATTTTTTTTTTTTACATTTGATGGGCCGACGTTTGACCACTATCTTGTCTGGTGGTAAGCGATGATGCAATTTACGATGGAGCAATATTTTTTCTATATTTTATTAAAATGATTACCTATAATCGTATGCTAGTATGCATGTGAATTCACGAACTGTATTCTTTTTGATTTCAGAGATCCCTCAAAAGAAGCTCTCTTGGAGCATGTTCGACAGCATTCCAGATCTGATGATGAACCGAAACCAATGCCTAAGAAACTCGAGAATAATACTCCTGACCCAGCTGACCTGGCGTATCGTTGTGGCCATTGTAATCAGTTATCTAACTGGAAACACGTTATACAGGTACGTTTCTATTCCTAACATAGGTATTCCAAATCATTTTACTTCCTCCAATTATAAGGCAAATAGATAAAGTATGTGTGTATTTGTAATTTGCGTAATTGTAATAATTTCTATTTTCTGTTTCCAGCGTCACTGCCGATTAAAGCATGATGGAGTAATAAAAGTTATAACAACAGTCAAACCAAAACCTGATCCACCGATGAACATCAACGAGATCAACATTGACACTTGCAACAAGTGTCCATACAGGACAAGTGACAAAAAGCTTCTCATCGCACATTTACAACAACACCAGCCCTCGGCAAGCTCTATTTTCAAGTGTTACTTCTGCCCATTCTTCGTAAAGGACGAACCTGAATTAATACAACATTTACTTCTTCACGGCATAACGGACCCAGAAGATTATATTGCAAAAGCCATGGGGACTAAATCTCCCGCTCCAGAACCGCAGGCACCTGCAACTCAGTCGATGAGCCACACCAAACGTCACAAATGCATCGAGTGCCCGTATGAAACCAACAGCAAGTCACAGTTCATGTATCATGAACAATTCCACCGACTGCCAGCAGATACGCCTTATAAATGCCCAGAATGCAACTACAGTGTATCCAAAAGACACCTGCTACATCAGCACTTACGAGTTCACGGTATTGCAACTAAAAGAATGGAATCTGAAGCCGAATTAGAAGCTTCAACGTCTTCGCACAATAAGTCAGACTCAAAAGCGGAGTACCAGAATACTCTGGTCGAAATACCCTATGTTTGGGTTTCAGCCAAGAACGAGTTTCATAAAATGTACAAGTGCCGATACTGTTCATATGTAAATGCTATCAAATGTAAAATACCCAATCATGAAAAAATTCACTGCATCGTATTCGAGAATGATACAACTATTTACAAGTGCTTGGAGTGCAAATATACCTGTGATACTTCCGTCAGGCTGTCAGAACATTCCAAGTCCCATGGAGAAATATATGGTCGTATTTATTGCCCTGTTGAGGATGACGTGCCAGATGAAGAACAGATCTCAAAACTAAGGAAAGTTATAGAACTTGAGAAAATAACAAACCCGGAAACAAGTTCTAGAGATGAATCCCCGACTGAAAACAGAGAAATCAAGTTTATATATTTTTGTCAAAAATGCCCAGCAAGATTCTTTGAAGAAGGAGAAATCGAAGCTCACGAAAAGGATCATGGTGAAACACATACATACAAATGTAAAAGTTGCGATTTCTCACTTTCAGAAGAGGACGACTTGACGGTGCATACTATCGTTCACACAGATGAATATCACACGAAAACAAAGATGCTTAAGTTCATCCACAACACTCATCCTTCACACCGACAACCCGTATTGGAACTCGTTCACTGCCCCAAAACCTCAACAATAACATGGATTGCCACTGGTCCTAGTAAACTTGAAACTGGCGAAATTCATACGAAAAAACATAGTGAAACAAAAAGTACGCCAAGACAATACAGTTGTAACCAATGCCCTGCAAAATTCTTCAAAAATTCCGCGCTTACATATCACATGGGCTTACATGGAGGAGAAGGAGAATACAAATGTAAAAAATGTAACTATGCCGTAAAGAACATTGGTAATTTAGCCAAACATGAATTACTTCACGAAAACGAAAATAAGACAAGTTGTGATTATGAATCTGGCGAAGACATGGATTATAAAAACATTCCCTTGTCTGGCACTGATTTGTTCCAGAGAAAGACTGAGGCGCAGAAGAGAGTTTTAACAGATAAAGATAAATTAGTAAAACCTAATGATCATTTTCCACCTGTTCTGCAGGCTGATCCCCAATTCGGTTACTTAATGCATGGTAATCCTGAATTCATTTATCCAACGTACCTTAAGAATGGACGTCAAAAAGAAAAGCGATATAAATGCCACAAATGCCCCTCCGCCTTTGAAAAAAGAGAGCAATATAAGATCCATTTATCATTGCACGGCTCCAAACAAAGGTACAAATGTGAGCTATGTGATTATTCAGTTAAATATTATGCTAATTATGTGCAACATATGCGAAAACACCAAATGAACGATGAAGCCCAAGCTGAGAGAAAGAAAGGTAGCGACACGTTTATGGAATCTGAAAATCAAGATGTTAAGCAAGAAGATAGCAGTGATAATATTAAGCTTGCTATAAAAACTATGCCTAAGGGCGCTCCTAAGAGCGACTTCCAACAATTCTCAATTAGTGACCAGCAAACTTTACGGTTGCTGCAACGAAGACGATCTATGAATAATTTTGGAAAAGATTTTAATGCATCAGACGCGTCGCCGACCAAAGAACGCAAAACGCACATGTGTTTATTATGTCCATACGCTAATCAGCGTCAAGATTCGTTAAATAATCATTACCGACGACATGATGACTCTGATGTTTCAAATGCAGGAGGCCATAAATGTCCTCATTGCGATCTAGCAGTTGTGCAGTCACATTTCCTACGTGAACATCTGAAGACACACTTCAATTACCATAAAACGCTCACTCCCGAATGTTATGTGGCTAATGAAGATGTTTCTTTCACTATCACCAAGTTGGATGATGATAGTAAAGCAGTTGATCTCAAAATAGACATACAAAACAAAAGTTTTGTAAGTAATGATGAAAAGATATTTGTAAAAATTAAAACTGGAGAGATACTAGTGGAATAAGTTTATCATTAGGTCTGATAAGTGATTAATTTATACTTTAAACTACATAGATTAGAAATTGTTTACAACAATGTATAGTTTTAGCCTAAGCCAAATGAATAATGTTGATGTTCACCAAAGCATAGCTTGCCATATTAGAATGTAACTATTCTGGCCATTTTGGTAATTCATTGGAACCATAAATACTAAATTAAACAAAATTGAAATTGCGTTATGCATTACTACAAAATGCTTAAATTGACAGTAAGTAAATCAAACTTGTTATCCAACACTGTGGACGCCTTCTGCCCCATCTAGAGGACATAAGTCAAATCATAACTTATAACAGAGTTCCAGAGTGCTTTGAATTGTATTATACATAACATGATTTTAGAATTTATTGTTACCAACAAAAGGATTATGACATTCAGGGCTGATTTTTCAATTAACAGATCATTTTTGACAGTTTCCATATGGAAAACCTGTAAGGAATTTAGAATCAATTCTCCGATAAAGTTATCTGGAGTTGAGAAAATCAGGCCTAAGAGAACTGTTGGGTACACTGGTATCTTAATAGTACTATTTTATTTAAGAAAAAATTGAAAAAGAAGAAAAAAATTGTGATTTCATGTCAACTAAGATATTATTTTCATATCTTTGTACCCAACATGTGATTCTGAAATACAATAAAACTTTAATAATTGATTGTAAAAATTCAACATTTCTATGCATCAATAAAAAGCTAATTAGAAATACTGAATAGTAATTTATACTATAATTATGATTATGATAATGTGTAATCATAGTTTATATTAGTGCCAGTTTTATATACCTTAGGTACGTCCTAAAGGACACATTCCTGTTGTGCAAAATGTTTTATAAATATATGATTATTGAATAAGAAAAGTAGTTTAAATAGAATTTTCCTTATCCACTTAAAAATAGTGATCATGGTGAAATTAAATGCCAAGTTCACTTAAAGCAGATTCTTTTATTTATTTAAGTTTAAACTAAGATCACCTTACCTACTAAACATGATTTTAAACTCAATGACAGTAGTAAGGTGGTGTTAAAATAGCAAAAACAGAAACCATAATTCATCGTAAATGTAATATTATACTTGATACAGTACAGTATCTCATAAAGTAGGGTACACTAGTCACCTTAGGATGGTTAAAAGCAGTCTTAACAGAATTTCCAGCGATTCCCGCATTCATTACAAAGTACAAATGTAGTCATAGGTTCATCAGAACTTCTTGTCTGTAACTGGTTATATGTACAGTTCTTCTTTTTGCATTTGCCACACTTAAGCATGTCAGTTTTTGTACCCTGTACTGTGGCCAACTGAGCATCGTCAATTGCCTCCTTAATGAACTTCTCTCTCAGCTTCTTCATTTCATCACTGGCCATTTCCTCTGGAGTCATCTTGGCAAGGCGGGAAGCTGAGATCACACCATTAAGAAAGTTTGTACGCAATGTTGGATTCTTTGGATCTTTCAGATTGGCTACTCTTGACCTTACCCTGTTTCTGTATCTCATGTCAGTATTCTTAAACTCAGCGTAAATGCATTCCTCTAATTCTTCAGCAAGTTCCTCAGGGCTCCCACATGCATTTGGGTTTTCACCATCAACTTTAAGAGCTTGTGTGAGAAGTTCCCTACACTTCAGCCTTACAGCATCAGTGGTATTGTTTTGTGGTGGAAATGAAGCCGGCAACTTCTTGTCTTTTTCCTTATCATCTTTTTTATCTTTATCTTTGCCTTCTTTTTTAGATTTTGAGGAGCTGCCATTATCTTTACCAGGAGTGCCTGGTGACAAGAACTTCTTCCAGTTTTTAATCAAAGTTTTACATAGAGATATCACTTCTTCATCCTTGCTGGATTTTCGAAGATTATTGACTGTCATACCTATTCTGGTTTTAGTCAACACATCCAGATTTATAGCCATGGTTTGTAAAGATTTCAGCAGATCCAATGCTTCTTCCTGGCCCTAAAACAAACGACAGATTTTAGTTTACTCTGGAACTAGTTCCACGAGAGCAACGAGCATGCATACCGTATCTACTGCTGTAAATAAAACAATTACCTTCGAAAATCTATTACAATATGTTTAGATAACACACATTTTGTTTATCACAAATATTTTACCACATTAGTGGCAGTTATTTCTAGATAATTTCCAGACTGAAAATGCATTTAGTTCCGATAATTTCATTCCTATAATAATAGACCTACCGTGCCATCCGCTGAAATCATTTTTGTCAATTTCTTTTGTATTTTCATAATATCCTCTTCGACACTCATTGTTAGTGAGTTTTATTGAAGACAACAGGTTCCCGCCTATATTCCGAAAACAAAAATATAGGAAAAATATTGATAAATCGACCACCACACGGAAAATGTAACTAAACCATAGACAATGTGAGACAGTTCGATGGAAGTCTGACGCAGTGTTGCAATAATCAAAAAATTATCGTAAACCGCCGCGTTCCAGTTCTATACTAATAAAATTTAAACATATCGGTTCTAAACAAATGTGTAAAAAAGATACGAAACTTATGATAAACGTAGAAATGTATATAAAAGTAAAAAGTTTTTTTTTTATATTTCCTAGAACCTTTTGATTACTTTTTAGGAAAAGAGATAATTGCCGTGAGTTTTTAGAAATCTACCCATGCTAAATACTAATTCATAAATTCTTCCAGGTTCCAAATGGAACGCCGAATTTTTTGGTATAGGCAACTTTTATATTTAAAACAAGAATTATGTTTTAGATAATTTGAAATTTCAAGACAACAAGTGCTATTGCGTTTCCATTCAGAATAAGCTTTTGAAAAAACCAACTTCTCTGTTTGCCAAGTTTATTTGCTCTAGTTGATCGGCATCGGCAATAGGGACAAAATTTTTCCCGCCTTGTCAAAACCCCTTTTAAGGTTAGATTTTGATTTATAACATTATATTAGTACTTTTTGTAATATAGGCATATGTAAAATGAAAAACGTTAATAAAAAAAATATTTGAATATTGGATGCAAAATAATGTAAAAAACCAAATAAATAAATTATCCAATAGGAAATCAACCAATATTATAGATTACCATAAACAATATTTTTTTTTTGTGACGCTAACGTTTCCCGCGAATATTTAAAAAAATAGTATTCAATAATTTTATTACTAATAACACACTTACGGTGTAAAACAACCAGATTTCTTATGTATTATTATTTATAATAATTAAGCCTTACCTAGTATAAAAAAATGCATTCGATAGGTAACTTTGCTATCCATAATAATGTGATTACTCTTTTAGATTTGAATGACTGATTTGATTATTTTGATTTGATGACCAGAGAGCAAATAAATAATAATACTAACCGATTAAAACTATTGACCGTCCGTTAACTAACACATATATTATGCTATTTTTTATTCCGATAACACGGGTGAAGCTACTGGCAGCAGCTAGTTTTATGTTTTATGTTTAGAGCACAGGTATTATTATTTTTTAAGGCAGATAAAGCATGAGGATACACAAACAAAAAGATGTTATTTCGGAAAATTTGTAGTAGATAGGTACTGTAGTGTAGTTATGAATGCCAACTGCCAGCTACTGTGGTGGATCTCCAAATTGTAGGCTACAGTGTGGTTCTTCCATATACTCAAATTGAATTTAAAAGTAATAGAATCTGGCGGACTCGTAACTCGAAACTGAACGTGTTTTAATAAAACCAGTCATGAAATTAATGTCGAGAAGTTCAGTAAGATGGCGCAGAAACCTAATTTGTATTTAGTAATGAGTGAAATTTTTTAAAGAACTTACTAACGAAGTTAGTAAGTTCTTTCAACACCTACACCTACACCTTGGTAATAATGATTTGAATTTAAAAATATATTGAATGTTTTTTTTTAGTTTTACTGTCATACAAGTGCTTGTAGTAATAAAATGGCAAGGCCACACATTTTTATAGAAGTATAAACTGACTCGCCCGTTGGATCTGCGAGATTAATAGGAGGATGAGGATATGATTGACTGCTACGCGATACGAACTCCGAGCTATGACCTACGCTCTACGATCTCTGACTACGATCGACGCGCTACGATCTACAAGCTACGCAAATCGCGCTAGGTTCTACGTGCTACACATAACGCGCTGTGGATAACGCGCTACGAACTACGCGCCACGATCTCCGACTACGATCTACAAACTGTAAGCTACGTACAAAGCGCTACGGTTTATGGGTTACGTCATACCTGCTAAGTACTAGGCGCTACACACTAAACATTACGACTTAAGCACTTCGATCTACGCGCTACGACTAAGACCTACGCTACGTACGTACTACGCGGTACGTAGCTACTACGCGCTACGTACTACGAGTTCCGGCTGTTGTATTTTGCCGCAAAACTGATCAATCCCAATCGGTCACCGTTAACCGCTTCCACTAACTCCATTTTAGACCTTATTTCTGATGTTTAGATACTACTTTTGTATGAACAAATTTTGGGGATATCGGGTGACTGTGTACGAATTAAGCGTAAAATTAAGATTTTTAGAGTTAGGGCCGGACATTCGGGTTAGAAATTTTGCTTTATATTAGGTCTGGTTACTCTTTGACCATATGCTTTATGGTCTCGTGTTGGTCGGCCACATCATCGCTTACCACCAGGCAAGATGGTGGATAAACGTCAACCTACAAAGTATTACAAAAAAATTGTAACATTATACTTGAGTTTTTTTTGTAGGATCATCTTTTAAGGGAGTTATATACACACGCAATGTGCATAAAGAACCTATAACATATTCAATAACAACGAAGCTGGGAGCTCCGTAATGACATTGGTCGTACCTATCATGCTATCGTTAACAAGGCGCGCAGTACACTAACCAAGTAGTTATAATTGTAACGGCTTATATACCCCTATGATGATGCAAGGGAATTAACCTATTATGCCCCTGACACATCATCTCTTTGTTTACGATCCTGCATTTGTCCCAAGTACAAAATGTCTTTGTTTTTTTCATTATTTTCCTGAACACTTTAGATTGCAGTAGGTACAGGAAATTGCATTAGCGTTACAATTAAACTATGATGAAAAGACTAGGTAAGTACCTACTTTATAACTTACTCATTCACTTTTATTCTTAGGGAAAAACGCATGTCATAATTCTAAGAGAATACTCACTTATTCATAAATCAATTATGAAAACAATTATTACTGTATAGGTAGGTATACCTAATATAATAATTCTTTGAGTGAACACATTACTTTGTCAATTTTTTCTCATGGCCTTATCTCAAGTACTATAGGTACCTACGCCGCGTCATAAGTACTTAATTTCCACCATAAGGTAAACTACAAAAAATAATAAGTAAAGTAACTAGATTACATCCGATCATATAATTTCGTTACGTGATTTTAAATTATTTTCCGGCAGCTGGAACAAGATTTTGAATAATAAACCCGATAGGTGTACCAGCGAATCACGAATCATCCCACGTTGCACACATGAAAGTCCATTACTGGACCCCTATATTATAGGTCTTTTTTTAAGGGGGGATAATCATCGAAAGACTGCTCCCGCCTGGGTGAGGCGGGGGGGAGTGTCAGACTCTTACTGACTAAAACCAACCCGTTCCTTCTCCTGCACGTCGAGCCGGAGCCCCGGTTACCCATTAGGTTCTCCGCGACATTTTATAGGTCTACTGTCTACTCCACAGTTCTACCTTATAAAATAAGGGTTTGCTATAGCCTTAAAGTTAAGCAAGTGGATTGACGATCGCAGTTTAAAAAGATTTATGCAAATATATCCCACATAGTAGCTGCCTAAAACCTCACATAGTGCGTTGTTTGAATATACACTTATATTCTATGAGTTTCATAAAAAACACCTCATATAAATATACTAGTTAAGTGTCATCACGAATTCACAATGACTCGACAGACGCCTTGTAATATAGTCAATAAATAAATAAACTGAGGTGAGTAAGATAGTTCAAACAGTCATACCACGCGTGATTTGTGATAAATAATATCTTTTGGTGTTGAGTTTCCAAATAAACAAAACATAATTTAAAAACATGTTTTTTAGACTAAGCTTACAATGTGTGTTTCGTATATCTTCGAAACGAGGGTAAAGGCAAAGATACACTAGGGGGCAAAAATGTCCAGCGACACGTATCGCCAGCGACATCGGGTAAAGTAGCGCGACGTTGCCAGACTTTGGTCGACATGTCTGGCAACATTTGTCCACGTTGCACGACATTTTTCCCCTAGTGTATCCTTGGGTTTAGGTATCTTATAAATCTGCAGTTAACAACAAACTTTGCTAGGTCACAAGCAAAGCTCCAGACCTAAAGCTAGTTATTGTTTACTAATGTATTTTAAGGTAAAATTATTTTATGGCTTTTCGAAAAATGTGGTTGTCCTCATATTTTCACCAACCTACAGATAAGTAATCTTTTCTTAAAGTTATACTTACGTACAGAACTATAAACAGTAGGTATCACTCATAGGTAGATTTTGTTCAAAACCTGATAGTCATTCCTTAAACGTATTGTTATGAATGAGTTAACTTTATAATAAAGATTGTCATGCTATTTTCGTCACAAGTTTACTGAGTACCAAATCAGTAGCCCATGTTAAATCAGTGCCGTTTATAGATTTCCATGATAATTGGTTACAACATCGGAGAACTACTCAATAATGCTATCTAAAAACCTATAAACATCTCGCGTATTTTATTTCAATTATTCAGGTGTATTTCATAAGAAGGATACCTACGAATTTATTTTTAATTTGATTTGGAATTTCTTTGAGACATTCAATAATTACCGACTGGGTTTCATTCACATCCCATGCAACATAGTCGTCCATTAAAAATATCCAAGCTTGCAACGTGCTCGCAACCCAATCGGGAATCAAAGGTTTGTGGGATGGGGGGAGGGCAATTATCTAATGACTTCCTTCACCCGGGTGAGATGAAAGGGAGTCGGGCTGTTACTGCCTAAAAACCACCGCGTTCGTACCCCTGTAATTCGAGCCGGAACCCGGCAACCCTTTAAGTCCTCCACGGCCTATCTGTGAGGCGCAGGCGCGCGTGGAACGCGACGCGCCATACGCTCGGGTGTGTACTGATTAGGCGGCGAGCTACCCTTGCTCGCCTACCGCAGGCCTGTGCTTACGGTGGCCGGAGATCATCTCGCGATCCCCGATGCCCGGAGTAACTCCCGCGACGGCTGGGGCGTAAGGAGGTTCGAAACCTCACGCACCCACCACCTCCTTAGCTAGCATAACTGCTTCGCAGAAGGAGGAAACGGCATCCCATCGCTCCGTACCACGGTCTGAACCAGAGCCAAGCGTGAAAGGTCGATAATACCGATCGCGGACACGGTGGTGCTCAGACCACGCGCAGAGCACACCGCCACCGTATGCTCCACCGTGTCCTCCGTGTGGTTCTCACAGTGATGACACCCGGGCGATTCCTCCAGCCCAATCAGAAATAGAGAATCAGAGACTTGCTGTAACATTTATGATAGGTAAAACAAATGTTTCTTCTTCTCTTATTATATCTTCTGATTCACTTCGTTGCGGGAACCAAGACAGTTATTCATGTCCCTGAGACGCGCCGGACTTCAGTGTTCCGGTGTTTTCATGATTGTACCTGGTGTAGATCCTGGCTTACAGGAGTTGCAGCGGTTTTGGGAGGTTGTGGCGGGCTTGTCCCATTAATAAAAAAAGGTAAAACAAATGTCCATTACTGAATCATTTAATTCATATAATCGTAGCATCAGCTTAAAACGTCATTAAAATAATTATTATGAAACGTTATGTTTTTTTTTCTAAACAAGGGCATTCTACATCTACTTATGTTACATAGAGAAACAGGAATCCTTTGATGCGGGTTTTATCTTCATCTGTAATTTATTATCCGTTCTGAATTTGAGGAAAATATCAAGGAAACTTGTATAACAACTTATTTACGAAAGAGAGACATAAGTCTAATAAATTAATTTCATCCAAACGTGTCATGACATTGTACCAAAGAATATTAATTTTAATGTAAAAATTGTAATTTTATTAATTTAATTTGTATTTAGTAAGACGTATGCACAAACCAGGGTTTTTGTTATTAGTTTTAGATGAACCTGTCAAAGAATAAACAGACAGATGTGGTTTTGTATACGTAAGAGGTCCTTACTTAACAAAACGATTAATAAAAACACTTATTGCGTCGACCATCACGATTGCCATTTACTTAAAAAAAGGATAATTCTGTAGCAGAACATTAAAGCTAGTTATGAAAGTGTATTTTCATTTTTATTTTTAATTCGTTGTGTAGTATAAGTCAAAAGATTACCTCTATAATCTTATTCAATTTTGTAAATAAAATAATGTATTATTTTCTAAGTAATACATTTTTAACTATTTCCAAAGCTTTCCAATGACAATTTAATCAAGTCATAAATTTAGAAGTGAACTTTTTAATCATAACCACGTGGGTAATATCAAAAATAGTAGGTAATTTGCAAATACCTTAAACTTGCGTGCATTAGTTGATTCGCATACCCAGTAAACTATTGTAGTGTTTAATCGTGCAAGTCAGTGATGATTTTGTAAAAAAACGCAAGTAATGGCATAGACAGAGTCACCATCTGTCGTTTATTCTTTGGCCTTCTGCCCTTCCATACGGACTGTGGTTGCGTTACCTATATAACTTGCAAGTGACCAAGTTTGCTGTTTGTAACCGTTCACACACTAGCCGAAGCACGCGGCGCGCGATTTCAAACAAATCAAAAGGTAATAAAATAATATTTACTTGCATTTCCATTCATAACAATCATAACTAGTGTTTATTGTTTAATAATCGAATATTTCCGTTAAAAAGTTAACTTAGTGTCTATGTCAACAAAGTGTACTTGCAATAGAAATAAATAAATAATTTAATGTCATTTTTAAATAGTTTTTATTTTATTTATGAATTCTTGTCTATGTCGAAATAGTGTTTCGGAATCTGTGTTCGAATTATAAATACAAAATTAATGACCGTCATATATTTCATTATTTTGATCATTAATTTTATTTCAATCGGCAATGAAGTGAACAATATAAATAAAATGTAGGTGAATGTATAATTCAATGATTAAATATTCTATCTTATCGAAATGCGGAACAACCTTTAATTAATTTTAAAAGGATTATTTCATTTCTTACATTTAAATCTTGTAAGCTTTTACCTGCAAGGTACCTATAAACCATTTAAACGTAGGTAATTTTTACAATGGTGTTTTAACCATTATTAATTTTTTTTCAAACACACAATAAAATTACTCGGTATTCCGGTGAAAATTAATTTAATTTGACTAACATTTAAGACCATTCTTCAAATTGTAGATTAATTAAGTTGCTTTTGAAACTTACGTCTCGGAAATGAATTGCTTAAAGATTGGTTGAGTAGATACACCGTAACAAACAAACAAACGAACATTCGCTTTTTTTATATTAAGTTGGAATTACTTTATGATAACTGAGCAACAGATATTTGTAAATTAACATTGCTTTAAAAGTTCTATTGGTAGGTCCCATTCACAATATGCAAATATCTCCGATCGATGCATTTACTGACAGTATTTAACCTAGGCCTTCTAGCTTATGCAGCAATGGGTCAGACGTAAGCTTTAATTGGATGAAGTTGCATTACCTTTGTCTATGCCCATTGCTACTGGCTGACCTGACCTTTTTTTAATCTGTGTTACTAAGCAATCAGGTTTGATGTCCCTCTGTTGTTCTTTCTAATCCATCTTGAATTTATTGAGTTTTATTGAATTAAAAGCTATTGGGAAATGTTTATTTCAGTTATAAAAAAATTTTGAGTTATATTTATTGGTATAGATTGCTTTAAATTTAGTTTGAGTAATCTGCAAGGATTAGTCCTAAGTTGCTTGATCAAACTTTTATAGTTTATCAAAGTTTACTTTTAAATTCCTCAGAGCTAGATTTCTAAATCTAACTTCGAATCATTCTTAAAATCATAAATTCAATAATTAAAATTCATATTTAATAAAGACAAGAACACAAATTGATAAATAATTTTATGTAATGTTTACATTTCGAAAATTTCTTAACGACTCAAAATCAGAAACCGGATTGAACCGGTAGCATAGCAGAGTATTATGAAAACTTGGTTGGAGCAACACCTTCAAGACGTAATATATGCAACAGTTTTATCACATACTTCCCATATTGAAATAAGGTTGCAAAACTATTTACTTTACAATCGTAAAATACATAACAAAGCGCGAACGGAACTGTTATTTTTGGTCACATTTAACTAAATGTTGTCAAGCGTTCGCCGGCAAAGTTTGTCGATCGTTAAATTACATCATCATATTTGTGGAGAACCTGTCCTCGAGAGTCGAATCTTTGCAAGAGCTTGAGTTCTGAAGAACCGAAAGAACCCTGACCTGCTTTCGTTTGCTTTGCATTTATTTCGACTTAGCATCGGATTCTACGACGTTCTATGTCTAATATTATCTCCACACATCAATCATAGAGCTTAATGATTTATGCATCTATTCAAAATTATACTTTTTCAATGAAAAACTTAATTTAAGCAAAGCATCGTCCTTACTTGAATCGATTAACTTGAACTCTTGATTGAGACCTTTCAAATGGCGCGCATTTTTTGTTAAGATGCATGCATCGATCAAGGATTATATGAGTTGATGAATGCATAAAATCAATTTTGTTTATTTTGAAGACCAACTAAAATAAGTAATGTAAGTTTGTCGAAAAAACATTCGGTGACTTTGCACTGGCACATAATATTCCCATTTTGTTCATCATATCATTTAAATTAATAAAGAACATTCTAAATAAAACTTTTTAATTCATTATGATGTCTGAAGCTTAACAAACCGGCAAAAATTTACCGTTGCTTCTACATTAATTAATTCAAACATAAACTTTGTTAACATTCCTGAAATCAAAAATTCTACCAATATCTATATTCTTAGATAGAATATTACAATAAGCTTAATTTTCCAGAAACAATCAACATGTTGGCATCATACGTAGTCCTTGCTGCATCCCTGGTGGTGGCCGCCAATGCCTACTCCAGTGGAGCTCCCGAGAGCGTCTGCGGTGACATGGTACCCAAGCACCCTGTGCCACGCCAGTCCTCCCCACCACCATACAAAATCACGACTAGCACACAGGTACGTAAGAAGGAACATATGTATTTGGAACACTGAAAATGAAATTAAATAGTAAAATTAATTTATTAGTCGTAAAGAGGTTGTAAACAGGCCATAAGTTATATGGAATGGCTGTTCACATACAATAAAACTGTATTTCGATTGTCAAGGACTTATTAGTACGGGTTCGAGCCCTGATCCCAAGTAAAGCTTTTGCCAAAGTTCTCAGATGATAGCGGATGATAGCGAATGACAATAAAAATGTAGGATTGAGTTGGTATTTAAGCTCGCCTACATTGAAAATAACATAACTAGTACTTATATTGGTTCTTAGGCCAATACTAAAGTGAATTATTAAACAAATCATAAAAGTAAGATGGGCATACAATTCTCTGTATCTGACAGAAGACATAGAAAATACGAGTACTTTGACGCCTAAATTAATAATTTTTTTTTGTTGTCTTTATTTTTGATTTATTTTCATTCACTAGTTTAGTTGTAGTTAATTTTAGTTTTAAATATTTAGTTATACATGTTCGTTAACTTGAATAAATCAAATTCGTTTAATGATAATTAATTCACTATTTTTTGAAAATAAATCTCATTTTTTACTATCACATGTCTGCGGAAGCATTCCATTTAAAGAAATGGTGCGGAAGTGTGTCCGCTTGCAGAATGGATGATGTAATATCTCATCTAACGTTATGGTTTGTTTATAAACATTTCACATCGATTTTGACCAAAGTAATAAGGTACCTTTAGCTTAAATGATTTGATTTCAATAACAGGCCTAATGTTATTCCCCGTGTGTATAAATATATGTATTAGTTTTCCTCGTATTCAAATCTTGTGACATCGTATTCACTCTAAAACACTTTTGAACACTCTAAAACTTATTTACTTTGCTTAAACCAATACTTGTATTTCTTTATACAATTCTAAAGTGCATATAAGTATATAGAACAAGGTATATATAGGTCCAAGTGTCCCCAAGTTGAAAGTCGGTGACGTCCCGACTGCCCTTTCTGAAAATGTGAATTTATTGATTTACACCTCTGAATAGACGTACCTACCTCACGTAGCGCGCTTTCATAGCTCTGCTGAAGTAAAAGCTTTCATTTTTCAGTAGACACAAGTAAAACATTGGTTTTATTAATTGAATTTGTGCTGATGACTTTGTATGCTTATGTTCAGAAGGTCTGTATGTAAATAGTTATATCAAAGATGTAGTGATCAATACTCTCCAAAAAACACGAACGTAGGAAAATAAAAAAAGAAAATATAAGTACCTACCTACAATTATAAATAGGATAATTATTTTTTCCGCAAGCTATTAATTTCCTATCCTGGTATAGAAATAATAAAAGAAAAAAGGCTATGAAAATGGGGCTTCCTCACTTAGTTATTATAAATATGAAAGTTTGTGTGTTTGTGTGTATGTTTTTGGCACTCAATCACGTAAAAACGGCCTAAGGGATCGGATTAAAATTTGGAACAGGAAGTGTAACCTAGTATAAAATTGTTAAAAATATTTAAGTAGCTCAGCTCCTATTGGTCGTAGCGTGATGTTTTATAGCCATCCTCGATAAATGCGCTATCCAACACAAAAATAATTATTCAAACCAGACTTGTAGTTACGGAGAAACAAACTCTTCCGCTTTATATAATAGTATAAGATAAGTGCTAACTCAACTAAAGATTTTATCGATGACAAAGATTGCAAAAGCATTGTTATATAGAATAGTACATACCATGCATCGATTCGGTAGAATGTATGAGACATTAATTAAGATAAAACACCTATTGTAACTACATTCTGACGAATAAATTTTTCTTTCTTTCTTTCAAAATAAATATTTAACGGCCGGTACAAGGTCACTTAAAATTTTGATCCTATTCACTTAACTGATCAATCGCAAAAAAGCTCATTTACTTACTAGTTTTTACCACTTAAGTAGATAGCTACTTACAAAAACTACGAGTTCTTATCTATGTTTAGAAATCATTGTGGAAAAAATGCTTATGTGGCTTCGACTACTTCATGTGACGTATATAACTATTTTAGGAGCTAGGTAGGAGAGCCTAGTGTCCTAGAGGAGGTTTCTTCTTATCTTCTAGTAGTAGTAAAACTCCGATGAGAGGTGTTGGCAAGAATGATTTTATTTCGCCAAACTACGCTACTTATATTTCTATTTACATATTTACAACTAGACAAGATCAGATATAGTTAGGTAATAGTTTCGACCAATAGCGGCGCGCCGGCGTGCGCGGGGCGCGCGGGGTGCGGGGCGCCGCTTTGCACACGGCACTATCGGTTCCTTCCGTATAAGTATGACCGCGCGGCGCGAGCGCGCGCATTTCTCCGAGAACCGGCGTCGAGTGAAGACTGAAGACTACCTACAGATGAATGCAAGTACTCCGGCTCCGGCTCCGGCTCCGCTTGCGCTGCTTGGCTGCTTGCTTTACCAAACCGCTTCTTTCGAAGCGATCGCTCGCGGCACGGTGTGATAACGCTGTTGCCGCAGTGATGATTATCGTTTCTATGCAGGAAAGTCGAAAACTGTCTTTTTCAAGACAATTGGTTTCTGGTTTCTTAAAACGGAGTCAAAACGTAAACTGTCTTTTTCAAGACAATTGGTTTCTTGTTTCTTTAAACGAAGTGAGTCTATAACTTTGGTAAAGGTATTGTGGAAGGTATCTGGTATATGGAAAGGTATTCGGTGGTACTGGTAACTGGTAGGTATGTAGTCGTGCGGTGCGGCTACACTATTATGGGCGAATACTGTTTGGCTCAACCCAAAGGAGTCAAAGGAGCCCAGAGGACGCTCTACCGATAAAACTAGTGAAAATCCTTACTAATATTATAAATTGCAAAGTGAGTTTGTTTGTTTGTTTGTTTGTTCCGCTTTCACGCCGTAACTACTGAACCGATTGCTTTGAATTTTTGCAGACGTTAAGTTAGAAGTCTGGATTAAATAATAGGGTACTTTTTATCCCGGAAAATTGAAAATTTTGATATTCCCTAGGGAAAACAAAAGTATTGGTATAGATGGCGCTGTGTGTATTGGTATATGTCACATAGGCTACTTTTTATCCTTTTGTGACTCGAGCGAAGCCGCGGGTAAAAGCTAGTTGGTTTATAAATGTATCTATGTCTTAATTATTTTATTGTCAACAGGCAGCGAAAGCCGGTACTCCTTTGGAGATAGTGATCAGCGGCAACGGACCCACTGACACCATCCGTGGTCTCCTCGTGCAGGCCCGCGCGGGAGACAAGCCCATCGGCAAGTTCACCCTGAAGCCTAACGACCCCTTCGCACAGCTGCTCAACTGCGGTGAACCTGGTGTAAGTAGACAACCTCTTTTAAGTTAACTAAAATAAGTGTGTAGGTTCTGAAGTAAAGCATTATTGACTTTTGCGGTTTTTCGAAATTGTATGCTACGACATTACAGATAGAATCATTGAACTTTGCAAATTTTAAATTAAAAACTTTTTGTGCGCTATAGCGTTTATGATCATGCAAACTAAACGTGGGGGTATACAATAGGTTCTAGCAAAGTGTTGAAGGTAGCTCCTTTAAAAATGTATGCAGATACATACATAAATACCTACATACATACATTACAAGTTAAATGAAGGCTTCTATATAACAAAATACTTATGAAGTCAAGTATTTGTTGAGTTTTGCGGTTTTTTGAAATTCCCAGTAATACGTATCCATGTATAGTAAATGGGTACGTATGGCAAGCTACATTATCATTGCTCTTTGCAAAAATCGAACCCTACGCCGTGATAGGTGTGACGTAGTGCGCAGCTATTGGTCGTCCAGCCACTGCATCAACCGTAGTTCATGGTCATAGTCGCTTTCACCAACCACCCCTTAAAAAACTTAACTAAAAGTTACGTAGCGTGACGTAGCACCTCTTACTTGTACGGTTAGGTATCACTTTACGTATAAGTGTCACCAACCCTAATTTAGGGGTTGCTATCAATTTAGGAGGTAGAATACAAACTAACCTCTTACTTGTACTATTATGTGTCACCTATACCTATAAGTGTTACTTACCTAGCCTACCTATCCTTTAAATTTGGGGAAAACGGGCATAATACTCATTTAGCATTAAATTGTAGATTATGTAGGTAGTTATCGTTTCATTGCATTTATTTTTCACTAACGACCCGTCCCGGCTTAGCACGGGTGCAAAATGCATGTATGTACATATAAACCTTCCTTAAGAATCACTCTATTTATTAAAAAAACCGCATCAAAATCCATTGCGTAGTTTTAAAGATCTAAGCATACATAGGGACAGACAGATGGCGAAAACGACTTTGTTTTATGAATTTTCATTCAAGTAAGTAGGTTCTTATATCGTATATTTTTTTATAATTACATTTTGATTACACCTACTTGCATATATCCTTGTTTTAAATAAGTTTTTGTGAACGAAATCCTGCGGTTATTTCAATAACACATCGTCTGAATGCGTCGTAAATCCAATGTTATTTGGTTATTTCCATGAAACACGCGTCCTTCACGAACTTTGAAGCCATAATACGGTTCGGTAAACATATTTATTTTAATAACAGTTTAATATTATATTTCATGCTGCGTACCTTAGATGCTGGCTAAAATAATAATTATAATAATATATGTATGATGAAGAAGATAATTCTTAAGTTGGTATTTAAATGCAAGATAATATTTTGTTCATAACATAACATCACGCCTTTTATCCCCGAAAGGTTAGGCAGAGGTGCACATTATACCACTGTACAATGTAACACCCACTTTTCACTATTTATGTTATGAGTCCCATGTAAGGGTGAGCCTATTGCCATATACCGGGCACAATTCCAGACTCCGTGCTACTACTGAGAATATTTAAAAACCGAGTAATACTTTGCCCGACCCGGGAATCGAACCCGAGACCTCTTGCCCGGCAGTCACACTTACGACCACTAGGCCAAAGAGGCAGTCTTTTATTCATCTTACTAAAAAACACAAATAGTGTAGGAAGATTAAGCCTGCCTACCCTTTTCTTAAATTGGCTTGTTATATTTATATTTGCAAAAACGTTACACAAAACTTTAAAAAAAAACGAGTTTACAATTTAATAATATCGATTAAAAGCTTTCTTTATTAGGGTTGCCACAAAAAATCAATCACGCAATCGAGCAAAAAACGCTCGCATTTTTTATAGTAGAACCAATTATCATGTAGCCGTTGTATTTCATTGAAAACGTGACAAGCGAATTGTTAGGCCAACTGTTTTACCTAAAAAATGTTGTTTGCATTTCCGCACTTATGACGTAGACGTTAGGACCTGTGTGTCAATCTAAATTAGACCTTCAGTTGTATCACAATGATTCTGTTGTTCTGCAACAGAAGAACGATTAAATAAGTAATTAGATTACTTACTTATGTATTTATTCGAAACGTACTTATGCGGATGTGCTTTGAAATTAAAGAGCCTAAAAACTGCCAATCACGGTAGTTTATTTTATTTTCCTGCTTTGTTACTGTTAGTACCTACTACGGCATTTTATTAAATCGATGTATTGACCTTATTAGACTAGGTAGTACCCTACGTATACAACGATGAACGATAGCCTTTCTCCAAAGGACAAGGACAAACAAAAGCTGTTTTTACTTGGTAGCTATCCACCACATTATTTTTGTAGTAAACTTGTTTAATTAAACAAATTGATTATTATCGTAAATTCCTTTAGATATTAGCAATTGGATAATGTGTAATGTGTATATCCAAGAGGTAAAAGATACTTAGGCTTAGATCTTTGCAAGCCAAATGCCAGCATTTGTCACTTTTAGGCCGCCTTGTATTGTTTGTGAAAGATGCATACGTGCGTCAAATGACGCAAACATCAAATTTTTTCAACGAGAAAATCATCCAATGTCTTCTCCCGCTTTGGGTTAGGCGAGAGGGAGTGTCGAACTCTTACTGACTAAAAACCACCGCGTTCCTCCAGCTATTCGATCTGGAGCCGCAGCAACCCATTAGGCCTCTCGTGGCAAGTAGGTAAATGCTAACCTAGCAATTGACCTAGTCAAATTGAAGACTGCTAACAGAGCTCAAAATAGGCTTTAATGGATTGGATAGCTTAGAATTAGATACTATGTACCTAGGTATTAAAAATTACGAAAATAAAACCCAAAGATTTGTGATCCAGTCTGACTCTGGACTTTCCCGTATCAGTAAATGTCAACGAGTGGATTAGAGACATTTAATTATCTACCTAATCCTAAATAGATTAGGTATTATTTCGTTTTACAAAAAATCCTCGCTCTGTAAATGTAATCAGGTTGGAGCATCATTAAAAAAAAGACCCGATTTAAATTTGAATTGAGGAAGGTAATCGTTGACGTATTCAATGGCCTCTAGTTTTGTGGTTTATTATTTTTTTAAAGTGTTACCATGCATTGTGAAATCGTTAATGTAAATAATAATAATATTAATTCAGTTTTGTTTATTTTTTGTACATCGATTAGAAGATAAGCACTTTTGCCTACTAAACTTAGTTATTTAATTTATTATCATATTTAATTCTGAATAAATAAATGCCTAATACCTAATTAAGTGTAATAAATAACCAATATTCCTTAACTAGATACATTAAGTTAGTAGAAGGCCTTTTCTTGACAAAATACTCTTTGGTTGGTCAATAGGTTCGAGTTTCCATGTTTAACATAAACAGCAGATGTTAAAATTCTCAAAGTTGTGTTGCATCACTCAAGGCTGTAAGTTCATTCTAAAAGGTCGCTTAGTTTTGGTAGGTATAAGAAGAGGAGGTGCAATAAAAAATGCCGAAAAGATACGTCGATAATAATAAAAAAATAATCTACATAAATACCTAGGTAAATAAATAGGTAATGCACGTTAACTTACCCATACATGGAACATATTAATTTATTCAAAACTCAACCACTGTATCAATATCATAATGTTATATATGCAAGGCTTATTAGCCATTGTAACGATTCTATTTTTTGTTGATTATATTGTCAAATCTTACAAATTGTTCACATCCGAGGACGTAGGAACCCTTCACTCAGGTTTAAAAACAATTAACGTCATTGCCAAACCACGGCGTGCTGGCAACAGTGGCAACCATGTTTCTTTGTTAACTTAACTATAGACAAAAACAGACAGGCACCTATATTGATGCCTACCAAAGTAGATGTAATTAATGGCGAGGCTTGTACGATAATTACGTGTAGATTGTGTCAGGTATTCAACTTATACGAATATTATATCCACAACGCCGTCATTATGCCATCTAAGTCGGCCACACTATAGTAAATCGTTGTCTGTACGTTCAGAACTATTACTATTCGATTTAGACCTTGACCAAGTAGCCTGTAGGGGGCTTAGACTGCTTAGTCTTTATAAGTATACACTGGAAACCAGTAATTTCTAACAAACTTATAGTTACTCCTTCAAACTTAACTACTGCTTGATTTTATAATCAGTGGCATAACTTTACGATTCGAGACTAGTGGTAAAAACAACGGATGGGTCCCTGTTCCCAAAAAGAAACAGAGAAGTTTAGATGAAAACCCCTGATCGGGACGGTCACCTTCAAGCTGGGGTCCGTAGCATTTTGCTGACTTGCCACTCTGTAGTTACGCTACTGTCTATAATACCTGTGACCTAGGTCAGTTAAATAGCTGGTACCTACCTACAAGTAATATTTAAATCGGAAGGAAGTAAAATTAAATTATCTCGCTCAATCTAGGAACTAAATATTGAAGGTAAACGTGTGCATGTTACCGAGCAGCTATGTTATTCTGTAACTTTCAATTCGGAAGATCGAAGTGAACTCTATCACGGTCCGCCATGTCATTGGTTATTAGAATAATCTTGACCAATGACGGACGAGATTACAGAATAGCGTTGCAGGTCACTGGCACTTTTGTACGTAAATTATTATTACAATCTGTCTAGCCGATCCAATTATTGTCTCCATGGCTGTAATTACACATACCTATATGGTATTTTATGGGTATAATTGTTTGTTCAAATTACACTGTCACACCATGCGTAAATCTTTGTACAAACGGCTACACATCGAGCCTTACACAACCAGTATAAACTGAACGTTAAATTTGCGGAAAGATGATGCGACGCGACACCAGGATAAACTGGTTTTGTATAGATTGATGTGTGGCCGTGTGTACTAACAAGGCGTTAATTTAAGACCTAACCTACCAATGCCGTTATAGACATAGATAACATATTGATACTATGGAAAGACAAAAGCCTCAGTAGTTCTAGTAGTTCAGTTCTTAGACCGGCTGCCGCGCAATGTAGCATGGGTCGATTCTCCAACTACTTAAGTAGTTGCGAGGCTATAACAACTCTATTTTGTGAAATCCACAGCAATAAGCTGAGCTCCTACCTTTTGCGCTGTGACGCACCCTATACTTCTTTTTGTCTTGTCTTTACTTGTATAATTGTTGTCTGCGTGTGTTGTCTGTGGTGGCGTAAAAAATGTTTTTTTTTTACTTTTTTTTCTTAAAATGTAGACGTTATAAGAAATGAAGCATAGGTACGTCATCGCATTGTGCGTTAATTAAAAAAGTTAGTGGAAAATGAAAACTTTTTCAGTTTGGCAGGACCAGCCAGGTCGAACGTGACTGAATTTGTAAATTCTTTTGGGACTCCAGTTTCAATAGGCTAGAGGTCACATACCTACTCCAGTAAAAATGTTATCAACACGTAACATGCCAAATGTCAGTTTAGAGTTAGATACAGACATCGAACTATTTCAAAGACGCACCCTGTTTCTGTAATGTAGTTGGACACAAAAGAGCTTAACAAAACAACAGTAATCAATTGTAATTAAGAACTCAATAATGCTGACTACGAGGTAGACGACTAGATGTACCTAATAACTGGACGGTTATGACGGTCAACTGCTACGTTGCGTGTCGCGACTTCGATTCCCGCTTACAAGAAATATCTACCTACTTAAAAAAATATTAAGATAATGTTTTGTTTAAACCAAAAATAAAATTGATGTTCTTGGTATACTATATACCTACCTTGATGTGTAGAAAGACCCATTAAAATCATAATATTAATTTATAATTATTTTGTCATTTCCAGAACGCTGTGACCCACAAGAAGCACGATGAGAAGTTCGACAAGCAGACTGTTGCCTTCACATGGACTCCTCCTGCTGGATTCAACGGAGAAGTCAAGATCAGGTATCTAACTAAAAACCAAATATATTTTGAAATATTTAAATTACTCGCCCTTAAAGTGGTTGAGTCGGAAGTACACCTGTGCACTAACCCCCGATTACTTGAATATCGTGCCATCTGTCATTTAGAAGTCAGAACTATACCTACTTAAACAAGACTTAAAATAACCTAAGCATGTTTAATCGGCTTTTTAGACTTTTGAGTTGCGATATAGGCCGCCTCTGTATAATAAACGACTCTCGGTTGTAGCTAATAACAAGCTTGGCTCGATAATAATTAATAATATGCTATTGGATTTAATTCGACAATTTCTCAGTATTAGCTGCTTTCGACAATTTCTTAGTATTACCTACACCAAATACCATTCCAGACTCCATGTTAGTATGGTGAAGGTATAGTAAGGAGGCATTACATAGCATGGTATTTTAAAGTGCCTAAATATAAACCTGTCACTAAAATACTCTTTTCATTATCCGACTTAGCTTTTGTTTGACGCCTCACAAACTAAGGAAAGGGTTTCATTTACTAATGGATCCATTTTTATAAATGGCTCCCGGATTAAAACACAAAAGGATAGCTATAAATAAAGCTTTTGTCTGATCTAATTTTACCTCAAAAACAAAGGACTAAAGAATGATATCCAAACAATATTTAACCACACTTATGTACAATAAGAAAACACTAGACAAAAGAACACTAAACAATAGAATAGAATACATATTTTTAGATAATATTAGATACTAGGGACGCAAGGGACGTCAAAGGGTAAAAAGGACACGAGTTCATAACCCGTGAAAGTCATTCCAGACTTTGGTAACTTTATAAGGCATGAACACGCACGATGCGATATGAAATTAACAGAATTAATTCGAAAATGGAGTGTGTGGGTGTTTGAAATGAATCAAACGTGTTTGGTTCCTTTGTTCGTGAATGCGATCGATTCAATAAGTTGCCTTGGGTAAATTAGTTTCAATTAGGTATATTGAGAACTGAGAAGCATAATGTATATGAAACCTTTGTGGTATAGGAACCTACTTACGACGTGTAACGTACAGATTATAGATAGCCAGTGTATTTGTTATCTATGACTAATTGTTTTTTTTTTCTTCCACAGAGCAACCATCGCCCTGAACGGAGCCGTATTCTGGGTGGGCGTCGAATCAGCCCCCATCAAAGTATCCAGCTAATTTATTTAATTAAGTCTCAAGAGTATTATTATTTTGTAATTTATACCTTTCTCACATTTCTTGTGTATGTGTTTGTCTTCTATTTTGACAGTAGATATTTCAAAACAATAATAAATTAATTAATTATACAGAGGTTGTTATTATTTTTGGGTGTGAAACAAAACGCATATAAATTTTAACAAATACTTTATTTCAAACATAGCACCTAGAATTTTTGTCTTCGAGATCCGTTTACAAAATTCAAGTCTCAATAAATACAAGTAGAGTAGGATAGGAACTAATAGCTTGTATCTACAGTAGAGCATATCATTTTTTTTATTACAATACTCTCTTATAATCACTGGCAATATTCAACGAAAATTTCATTTTCAATATTAGTTAGGCTTTCCATCATATTTACTTACAATTAAACTTATCTTAATTTTGTTAAGTAATAACATTAATAGTCCATTACGAATCTTAGCTGCCTTAGGCCGAAAATATACACAAAACCAGTTAAATAAAAACAGTAAATAAATTATAAAATTACCTACATAAGTAGCTCTAACAGCTTTTTATAAATAAATAAATATTTAAAATATTTATTGTGCTCATACTGTAGATACATGCATGAAGCTTTCAAAGACTTACAATTTTTTAAATTTTGAGTTGCTACAGATAGTGGTCTTACAAGATATGCATAGATATTCGAGTAGGTCTTTTATCGGCGTAAAAGTGGAAGGGGACGGACTTTTTCGGATTATAATGAGATATCACAGTTCTATTTTTATTTTAATTTAGTGCCTTTAATTTGAAATCTGTTATAGACAGATTTATAAGCATGATACTCGAAGATTATGTTCAGTAAATAGAGGAATGAATCTCATTGCAAGTGACTATAAACAATAAATTGGATTATAGATCCCTCATTCCCCTTTCACCTCTCGAAACTTACACTCTTTACCAGAGACTATAATTTTAAGTCTTTGACCAAGCTTGTTAGGAATAAAGCTCGAATTCTATTCACATTGAAGCAATTCCAATACAAACTGCTACAGTTTGATAAACAACTATTGTTACATACACTCTCACAACATATGAAGTCACAGTTACGTTGACAGATTTCTTTGAAATTACAATTCAAAGGAATGTCTCATAACACATCTAGAATTTAAACATCATCATGTTTTTTGAAGAAAAAACTAAAACAAAATAAAGTACTAAAAGCCTTTCCCATAAATTCATTAATGAGCCTTGGTAGTTTCTAAATAATTTTATAATTAAACATCTATGCAGTAGAATGAAATGAGATCAAACTGCAAATAAGTAGATAAGTAATCGAAACCAAATAGCCGCAGAAAATACATGGTACACAGTGTGGTACTGAGACTTGCAAGTACATATAACTACAATGGTATCTATCCTAGCAACTATGGAAGATGATATCTGAAGTACTATGAATATGAGTGTTATGTAAATATATAGAAAACAGTAATTGACTACTACACTAAACATGTAATTCCATTATTCAAATTAAGTTATTATATGAATAGATTTTATTAAAGTTAACTACATGCTGGAAGATTTAAATTGCAGACAATTCATGTGTTTAAATGGATATGTGACATCTCATTACTCTATAGATAGGTAATGCCACTGCTCATTATATAAAATGTGTGGTGTATATCCTGTTGTGATACAAACATTATAATATAACTACAAACTGGCAAGATAAGGTCATATAAAAATGTGGGTTTGTGTAAAAGGCAATTTCGGTGAGTGTTACCATATACACACATACAGACATACCCAATACAGACTAATCATTACCACAATCTCAATTTCTGTCTTGATGTACATATTATCAGATTAAGTCACTTGTGTATTTATTATCAGCAGAATACCTGTTCGCATAATACATTTAGACAGCCTTTATATTTGTACAGATGCATTTTAAATAAAAGAAAATTTACCATCTCATTAAACCTTGAAACAATAAATACTTATGAAATAAATAAATACACCTACATCATAGATAACATATAAAAAATGTAATCAGAAATTAAATTGTCATTGGTCTAAATTAAATGCACTTCAATTTAAAAGTCTTATACCTAAATATAAAACATCACAGTTAATACTGAATAAGTAGTAAATAAATACATAGAATTAAGTTGTTAATTTATATAGGCTATCATTGGTTCTGTATGAAATAGTTTTGCCTTTTGAGCTGTCTATACAAGGAGATATACTTCCCTGCAGCAGAGGTTCTTGGAACAACATATTGCTTACAGAAAAGTTTAGGATCTCTAGCCTTCTCAGAGAGCTCACCACAGTCTAGGGCTTGCAGGAATGCAAGTACAAATGTGAAGCAATTATGCCTTTCTTCATTGTACCTTTCAGCCTCCCACAGCGGACTCTGGCTTACCTGGAACAACAAACCATAATAAGCAATTTGTGGAATGAAAACAAAATAATTTAAGTACATAAGCATAGTTTGCATACCTTGAGAAGAACGCTATCCCAAATCTCATTCCACAGCTCATCAAACTGCTCTAACAGCAGACACTGGTCCCAATCTGAGCTAGAGTCGCAGCTACTCCACTTCTTAGTCATGGGGTCCACACCACGGATGCCCTCCTCACTAAACTCCACAACACAACCTTGAGAGTTAGTCACTCCTATGTGCAAATCTTTGGAATTGTAGTAGTCACTGTAAAGAATGAAAAAATCATGTAAGTATAAACGATTTGATAAGGTTGTGATTCACTTTACGAGCTATTAACTTTCAACGGAAATGAGGCATACTTCGAGCGATTTGGTACGTAACAACAACTATAACTTACTTGAGAAAATCGCCGTGAGTTGGCTTCATGACGATGGCGCGAGGATGCTGAGATGCTTTAACGAACGGGTAAGGAACCCTAAAACAAAATTTGGGGCACTTAGCAACAACCTTCATCAGTCATGCTAATCGAGAAGCCGTTACATAAACATACTGTTACCTGAAGGGCAGTAGATTGTAATCATATCTATCCAATTTTTGATCACAAACAGGGCATTTTTCAGGTATTATAGTGCAAAATACTTTGTGATCACAATGGTGGAAACAAAGAATACCCGGATCCATTTTTACACAATGAATTAGGCCGAATTTTCAATGAAACAGTCGCTAACAATATTATCACTACAATCGTTGATTTATCAATTTGCTTTGAGCAAAATAAAACTGTGAATACTAGTAGAATAACGTTATGACCAAGCAAAGACTAATGAGAACCTCATAAGAACTTTGCCATTGTCTACCTTTCACAACTCTACTCTCGCTTGAAAACCTTTCTACAAAGCAAGCTAAGGTTACGTTCGAAACTATAATTTTCAGAAGATTCCAAAATACCGAATTATAAATATTTGACACTAATTAAATTTATTTTTTTGAAAAAGTGAATTGTGTTCGATTCATATTAGAATTTTATTACATTATCGTGAAATTAATAGTAAGAAATTGGTGTTTAGTGAAATCGAAATCTCCAAATAACCACCGTTATTTTTTTAAGCACTGGGTTTCGAACGCACGTAGACGCCTTAAGCGGTGATTGGACAGCTAAACAGCTGTGAACAGATGATTGTTGCGTGCATTTGTATTGGCTAAAATTTTTATCTGTATGTTCTAAGATTGGCTAATAAATTTTTAGCTATTGGCGCTTAAATTCAAATTTTGATAAGTTGTAAAGTTTTGTTCAATGGAAAATTTAAAAAATGATCTTTTTGCACCAGTGGGTCATCGGCCGCTGACTATGTCTAGGTTTTGTACAAATTGGCTGAAAAGGAAATGGGAATACATTTTTTAAGTATGCAATTATTATTATTTATTTATTAAATAAATATTTATTATTTTGTAACCGAATAATTACACAAGACGCAAATAATTTTGTTCATTAAATAGAAGTCGTAATTATGTCCAAGTAACCTAATCAATTTGTTACTAAGTTATAAAAGGATGTTTCATAATATTTTATGCCCTATTTGTTACCAATACGTGTTACGTACGACCATAGTGTCGAAATTTTGTCAATAATCGTTCATCATGGAGCGTTGTATTGTGTGTTTACCAGTTTCCATGGTAACTAACGCTGGCGGTAAACCACACCTCATCCACGAGACCCAGTTCTTTCGACAGTGTGCGCTGTAAAGCGTGCGATCCTTTGTTAGGATACTTCCTAACATGTACCATTAGAGTTAAATACACTGTTTAACTAATGCGTGTGTGATTAGAAAATTCATGCGCTTTAAATAATTTTAGGAAGTAAATTAAATAAAAAAGTGTGTTCAATTTAAATATTTATGAACAAGTTATTACCATGTCATTGAACTTTGTATTTTTTTTAATTGGTTGAGCTTGACCGCGGAATAGCCGTGCAAGTTGACATGAATGTATAGAAATCGCGTAGTTTCTTGATCATGATGTTTTTGGAGAAGGTGAAACGTTTATTGCAAACAGTTTGGTGGTTGCTAGCAGTAGCGAAGGTGGTTACCGCGGGCATATCTTGCCTCAGTAGTCCCTGCCTCCATGGTATTTGCATAGATGACGTAAACACGTAAGTAGACCACCACTTTATTCATATCAAATACACACTGAACCATGGCAGTCCACTACATCACTATGAGCCTCCTATGCGTAAGAGGGGTTTGCCATAAACCATCATTGGCAGTCCCGTTGGAGATCACGGTTTAAATGGTTCGTGTATAAAAGAGTACTACTTTTTTTTATAAATATTTGATGGGACGACGTTTGACCACTATCTCGCCTGGTGGTGGTGATGATGCGGTCTACGATGGAGCAATTTGTCCCATAAGCAACCTATTCACTCGAGCCTTGAACACACCCAGGTTATACCCTTCAGGAGATACAGACTCTGGCAAAGAAAACCACGAGTTTCTGTTCAATAAGCAGTTTCCCAGTTGGTTCTTTTCTTATGACGCTGGAAGAGTAGGAGTATTTTATTAAATGCATTCTATTCTATTCAGCCATGACATAAATTAATTAAAATAAAAAAAAAAACAAAATGTTATAGATACCTATATGACACGTGCCAATATTTACAGTTCTTTTCGTAAATAAATTATTGCGCCTGACCTCGCTAACATTTCCTGGAAACGGTTGCACTTTGTACGTAGGTAATTATTTCAACAATACATATAGTAGAAAATTCAATTGACCTATTATTTATTTACGAATTTACCTATCTACACTTATTTAGAAATTAGAATACGTAAGTACTAGTACACACAAAAGACACGATAATAGTTATAGGATGTATTTTCAAATAGCGATCTGATTTATAAGATCCAATGCCCATAAAGAAATAATAAAAAAAAAATACAATTTTTCTAATTTAGGCAAGAGCCAACGCCTAGAGGTACGATATAAAACGATAGTCCCTGAAAGTCCTCTGCTCCAACATGAGCCTCATCTATTATCATCATCGAAATAGATATACTTCATCAAAATGTCAATTATACTCAAAATATTTACAGGACATACTCATGTTACTGTGTGGACGGCTACACTGGAGTTCAGTGTCAAACCAACTGGGATGAATGCTGGTCTAATCCTTGCCAAAATGGCGGCACCTGCATCGATGGCATTGCTTCCTACAACTGCTCCTGCCCTGACGGATTCATAGGTATGTAGAAAATTCCAGTTTTGATCATGATTTGCGTTCTCTAGGTTGCGTTACTTATTCCCTTTTAGTTTTCAGTTTGTAATTGTTTAATTTTAATTTTCTTTCTTTTTATTTATTTTTATAAACCTATGTTCAGTTGACGTCCTTTGTATAGTAGGATCGCCTACCCCAAGCATACTCTTGCTTAACAGGTTTTTTCCTAATACATATTTTATTAGTATGTACATAATAGTTAATGAAATAAATTATTTTTATTTTTTATTTATTTATCTAGGTGGCGCTACTGACAAATAAAAGCACATTGATGCAGTTATACATTTGAAACTCAAAACTCTTAGTAAAACCGTAAATAATTAACAGTTAGCAAAAGCTTAACTTAAATAGGTACATAGGTACCTGAAAAAATAACGATCCAGATATGAAAAATTAAAAAAAATAAGCGATCGGAATTCGTAATGGGTAATGCGAAAACAAAATGAATAAAAATCACAATAGTCTGCAAAGCAGTTTTTCGTGAAAGAAAACTATAATTTACTTTGATTCAGAACTAATGAGATGACTATAATAATAATTCAAAGGGTCTTTTAAAATTTACATAAATTTAAGTTACATAAAGTTAGTTAACTGGCTTCAGAAACCCGAGGAAGGAATATTTTAGTCTGTAATCTACTTACCTGTATGTTAAGATAACAATCTAAATTGACGCAGAAGTATTGATCGAACCAAACGTAGGTACATACACTGGGTAGCTCTAGCTAGGTGCCTAAATAAATGTAGAACACAACACAATATACTAAATAATGTTTATTGTTTACCTAACGTGGAAGTGGAGCGTCTATCGGTTCACCACCGAATTAGGGTCACACGGAATTTGTTAAAGCAATTACATTAATACATCAATACATCAATACATAGGTCATAGGCAATCTCATGATAGGTATATCTTATATCTAAGTTATATCACAAAAGATCACAGATTCAGGGATTTATTAATAAAATATTTTTTTATTTCGACATCGCATTAGCAATATCTATAAACCTAGCATACAGCTAAGTCAAAATTAGGGTATTTAATCCCAAGTTTGTATTTGTAATGGTTAAAGCAAATAACTGAGCATAATCAACATTTAATTTACCGATTTCTATAAGTTTTGCTTTAATATTTTAGGTGACAACTGCGAGACCAACTACAATGAATGCGAGTCCAACCCTTGCCTAAATAACGGCACATGCATAGACATGAACAACGGATACCTCTGCTCCTGTATACCAGGGTTTTCTGGAGACCATTGTGAGCTAGACGTAGCAGTATGCAACTCCACGGAAGAAGTTCGTTGCTACAACGGGGGTCAATGTATCGAGGGGCCTGGCTTTAAATTTTATTGCAAATGCTTACCGGGTAAGTAATGTTTTCAAAGCAACATCGATGGCATTATTGCCTTCACTCATAGTGTCAGTCACGCGATTGTCGAATTCATTTTCAACTACATCTCCTTGTCTTTCAAAGTTTGAGTAACTATTTCCTTTGTTTATTTTGAGGGTTCTCTACCGTTGCATTAGAATATTTTCGTTCTTTTTAAGGTTGGGCGGGACCTAAATGTGAAGACCAGATTGATGAATGCGAATCAAATCCGTGTCAAAATGGAGGGGTTTGCATCGATGTCCACGCAGATTACATGTGTGCTTGTGCCTTTGGTAATTACAAAAATTTATTTACATACACATAAACATAACATTACGCCTTTTATCCCCGAAGGGGTAGGTAGAGGTGCACATTATGCCACCGTACAATGTAACACCCACTTATCAGTATTTATGTTATATGAGTTCCATGTAATAGGGGATGAGCCTATTGCCATATACCGGGCACAATGCCAGACTCCGTGCTACTACTGAGAATTTTTTTTAAAACCCTGTAATACTTTGCGCTACCCGGGAATCGAACCTGAGACCCCTTGCCCGGCAGTCGCACTTGCGTCTACTCGGCTAACGAGGCAGTCAAAATTTATTTAACCGACTAATAATATAGAAAACTCTATCCTTACTCCTTGTTTCTCGTATTTCAGGCTTCACAGGAAAAAGTTGCGAAGTCCAAATAGAATTTTGTGATGAAAACTCTTGTAGTAACAATGCTTTGTGCGTTGTGGAGGATGGCGCTAGAGTCTGTTATTGCGTTCCTGACTACCATGGAGAGAGATGCGAGTTGCAATACGACGAATGTTTATTAGGACCCAGGTACATAGTACCTTATAGACTTAAGTATGTAAAACGGCATAAATGAAAATAATATTTATTTTAAACTAATATTTTGTTTTCAGGTGCATGAACGGCGGCACATGTATCGATGGAGTAGATAATTTCACTTGCTCCTGCCCTCCGCGACTAACTGGTCCATTATGTGAATGTCTCATACTTGACGATGAAAGTTACGATTGCGAATACG